CTGTTCGGCCACCTGCTGACGGGGGAATGAACTCATTAGCATAAACACCTGTTAGTCTGGGTTGTTTATCACGTCTGGCCTTTGTCGTCTGGACTACCTCTACTCCTTTTGTTTTATTTGTCATTATTTTTACAAGATCGATACATTTTTATATAGATATGGGGTTATAATAAATATTAGAAGAAGGTTATGATTTATCTATGTCAAAATATACTACATATATATATAAACTAACCCCTGCACAGAGCAGGCTTCCGTGTATTCGACAAACTAACCACTATTTTGAGCAGGCTTCCATGTATTAAAAAAACTAACCCTTGTAACTGAGCAGGCTCCCGTGTATAAAAAAAAACTAACCCCTGTACCGAGCAGGCTTCCGTGTATTCGACAGACTAACCACTATTTTGAGCAGGCTTCCGTGTATTAAAAAAACTAACCCTTGTAACTGAGCAGGCTCCCGTGTATTCAACAAACTTAACAATGTACTGAGCAGGCTTCCGTGTATTCAACAAACTAACCCTTTTAACTGAGCAGACTTCCGTGTATAAAAAAAATTAACCCCTGTACTGAGCAGGCTTCCGTGTATTCAAAAACCTAACCTCTGTACTAAGCAAGCTTCCGGTATATTCAACAAACTAATCCTTGTAACCGAGCAGACTCCCGTGTATTGAAAAAGACTAACCCCTGCACTGAGCAGACTCCCATTTTTTCGACAAACTAACCGCCGTATTGAGATGGCCTCCAAGTATTTAACAAACTAACCCCTGTACTAAATAGGTTCTTCAATTCAAGCCACTCCTATACTGAGCAGGCTTGTGTGTTTTTCAACAAACTTCTATTTTTAACAAATTACTGTACTGAATTCCTGTGCTTTAAAAAACATTTAGTAATAAACTATCTGATCCCTGAAACGCGAGCAAATATCTCTCTGTACTGTACAAGATCCCTCGTACATGGAAAGAAGCAGCAGGTGTGGTTGTGGTGAAGGAGGAAGCCGGGGAATGTAACCAACTTTATTCGCAACATTTTGTACAAGTCCGGTGAGTAAGGGTATTTGACTGTGCGTCAAAAGCGAGCTCTAACCTAATCTGATTTATATATTATATATCTTGATTTATATACACTAGACTAGTAAAAATCACGTTATATTTTATATTTTCCCCATTTGCCTATCTCCCAGTCTGCTGTCGATCTCTCTCAGCGGCTGACGGCGATGCTGGCAGAGATTGAACATATCGGTTGTAAAGGAGAACTTTGAATGTAGCCGTAAGTGTCGGGGGATCGCAACGTACAGCAGATCGAAGGCTCATGTCCCACCAATATAACATAATGAACAACAGAAAATAGCAAGAAAATCGTAAATGCGGCAAAGTTTACTTTTATGGGTTAGCCTTGTTATCTTTAAATTGTTCCACTAGTCTTCGAAAACCTGTACGGATCTCTAACTTGTTTAAGACTAACCTCGTGCCCCTGTGAACTCGGGTTTGACCCCAAGTGATCAACCGGTGATATGAGTATGTACAGGGCGAGTTTTAATAAAGAGCAAACAATATTTTTCGATGCAAGTTTTGAGAAATATTCACAGATATTGTTTAGCAAGAGAATTAAAACAAGGCACAACTTTGAGGCAATAAATATCGCACAAATGCTTACAAATTAGGAACTCTCATCCCCGTTTCAAAAATATCTAAAACTGCGAGAAATTCACATCCGCACACAACATCTATAATCTCGTCGATGTCTGTAGTAGCAGTCAGGGGATGCAGAACACGTTCAGTACCCGGAGAGATGCGGGGGTGGGTTAGACGTGCGGATCACACAATCATGCGGGTCATCACAGGGGTATCTGGGGCACGGTCAGGGTGGCAGGGGAGCGGCTCTGGGGCGCACCTAGGTTCTCGGTGACGGCGGAGGATCCCCGTCGCCAGAGCGCGGAACGCACGCGGCCCTCTGAGCCTGTGTGGACGTAGTCGACGCTGCGGGAGCGCGCCAGGGAAGCGGCAGGCGGCTGGGGACTCCGGTCGACTTCGGCGAGTGAGTAGAGCTTGTGGGCGACGTCACGACCCACCAAGCAGCGCAGGATGAAGCTGAGGTAAGGGCTACTGGCTAGTGTGACGGTGAGACGGGTCCGGGGCCAATGGGCGTAGCGACATCGCGACGTCGCCTTGATGGTCACCTACACGCAACGCCAAGGTCACGTGGACAAAACACCAAATATGCTACATCGAACTACAAATAACAAATGAATAACTCTCAAGTAACAGGTATATGCAAAGTTTGTACCTTCAATCAAGTATTTGTCTAACACAAAGATATATTCAGGGCTTGCGGATTGAAATAAAAGAAAGGGTTGAAATTCTGCTTTTCAACCGCTAGTGCCTTACTACAAAAATTTGAAGGAATTCAAAGATAGATGTGTGTTCAAGAACTCAGAAAGTTAAGGAATATTCTGTTTCAGAGGTGTCATCTATCAAGGTGTAGAGGTAGGATTATGGTAAAAACCAAATGCAGAGTGGGCGAAATTTGAGAACATCTATAAATAAGTGAACGCTATATATGAGCAGTTAACGTCCAATGAGAAGAGAACGAAAGTTGATAAATGAACCTCCGATGAAAAGTGTTTGGTAAATTGAAAGGTAAACGCCCTATGAGAAGAGAACGAAAGTTGATAAGTGGGCGTCTGAAGTGTTTGTAAATTGAGAAGTAAACGCCTTGTGTGAAGAGAACGAAAATTGAGAATTGAACACGAGTTGAGAAGTAGACGTCGAAAGAGGTGTTACCAACCGTGTCTCATCGCCGCCAAGCTATTTGTTCTAGAAACTTATGACCAGTCAATTGCCCTTGAGTTTCTTACCAAAGTAAGGATAAGAGCCGACATTGCCGGCATATCATCGATAACATCAATGGAGCGAGCTACGCACCTGGAAGAGGCCATCGGTGTCCGAGGGCGTAGCCTCCCACTCGGGGCTGTCAACGAACTCCCAGGGGTCGACGTAGTGGAGCAGCACACCCTGGCAGGTCACCTTCAGCCTGAATACAGGTCACCTTCAGCCTGAATACAGGCTACCTAAAGCCTGAATACTGGTTACCTTCAGCCTGAGCACAGGTCACCTAAATACCGGGGCATAATTCAGCGCCTAAGAACTACCAAGAAGAAAGCTGACCAGTTCTAAGGCTTTAAGAAAACTTCAGTAATGTCAACAATCATCAAGTTGTGTTTAGCAACGCTCAGGAGCTTTCATTTTTAATAGATTCATATATATACCTTTGAATTCTTATCCAGAACTTGGTTTATCAGGTTCCAACGTCATGGGCGCCAAAATAGTTCCTTATCTCACGTGCGGGCATGTCACGCTACACAGCAGAGGCCCAAAATCCGTCACTGAAGTCTTTAAAATAAGCTTGGCTCAAGTGTAAAAACTGGCTTTCTTTAATAAAAAAACTGTTGTTTAGACGAAGATGGTCATTTAATCATCCCAGGATGTTGTTTAGACAGTATCTTTATCCGGACGTGTGGGAGATCGGAATCCTACATCTACTTATATAATTGCCTTATTCTGTCTGTATGTCTGAAGCTCACGGATAGAATGCGCGCCCTTGGCTGCCGGCGAACACGTGTCCTCCCTGCCCCCCTCTAGACAACTTTGTTATCAGCAGTGTGTTACATCCACCTGTCTATAGCGGCCATTCTAGACAACCCTGTTATCAGCAGCGTGTTACATCCACCTGTCTATACAGGTCACCCTGTCTATAGCGGCCACTCTAGACACCCCTGTTATCAGCTGTGTGATACATCCACCTGTCTATACAGACCACCCTGTATATAGCGGCCATTCTAGATAACCTTGTTATCAGCTGTGTGATACATACACCTGTCTATACAGGCCACCCTGTATACAGCGGCCATTCTAGACAACCCTGTTATCAGCAGTGTGTTACATCCACCTGTCTATAGCGGCCATTCTAGACAACCCTGTTATCAGCAGCGTGTTACATCCACCTGTCTATACAGGTCACCCTGTCTATAGCGGCCACTCTAGACACCCCTGTTATCAGCTGTGTGATACATCCACCTGTCTATACAGACCACCCTGTATATAGCGGCCATTCTAGATAACCTTGTTATCAGCTGTGTGATACATACACCTGTCTATACAGGCCACCCTGTATACAGCGGCCATTCTAGACAACCCTGTTATCAGCAGTGTGTTACATCCACCTGTCTATACAGACCACACTGTCTATAGCGGCCACTCTAGACAACCCTGTTATCAGCAGTGTGTTACATCCACCTGTCTATACAGACCACTCTGTCTATAGCGGCCACTCTAGACAACCCTGTTATCAGCTGTGTGATACATCCACCTGTCTATACAGACCACCCTGTCTATAGCGGCCACTCTAGACAACCCTATTATCAGCTGTGTGATACATCCACCTGTCTATGCAGACCACCCTGTCTATAGCGACCCCTCTAGATAACCCTGTTATCAGCTGTGTGATACATACACCTGTCTATAGCGGCCACTCTAGACAACCCTGTTATCAGCTGTGTGATACATCCACCTGTCTATACAGACCACCCTGTCTATAGCGGTCACTTTAGGCAACCCTGTTATCATCAGTGTGTTACAATCACCTGTCTATACAGACCACCCTGTCTATAGCGGTCACTTCAGGCAACCCTGTTATTAGCAGTGTGATACATCCACCTGTCTATACAGACCACCCTGTCTATAGCGGCCACTCTAGGCAACCCTAGGAAGCAAGATGTATACAAGGTGTAGACAAGATGAAGATCTACTTATATAATTGCCTTATTCTGTCTGTGTGAAGTTCACGGATAGATTTTGGTCAGAATGGATAAAATAAAAAGTGTCAAGGGATGGGAATCGAACCCACGACCTTCCGCTTACCGGGCAGTCTACTTATATAATTGCCTTATTCTGTCTGTGTGAAGTTCACGGATAGATTTTGGTCAGAATGGATAAAATAAAAAAAGTGTCAAGGGATGGGAATCGAACCCACGACTTTCCGCTTACCGGGGAGATGCCATGACCACTAGGCTATAGGCTCATTATTTCTTTATACCGTTATTATACCGTTATATTATATATAGTTAAAACATTTTAAAAACACACAGTTTGGAACGGGACGTTTCACAAGAGTGACATCCATGGCGCCAATTTATAATTGTAACGAATAGTATTTGAATTAAAACGCTTTTAAAATATATTCGCACTCAGGTAAAACCCGGGCGTTGCCCGGGCCATTCGTCTAGTATTATATACTAGCCGAATGACCCGGGCAACGCCCGTGTTTTACCCGATTGAATGTTTTGATTCAAATACTATTTTTTACAATTATAAATTGGCGCCTTAAATAAATGCATATTTTAGTTTATAACTATAGCCTATGTGCTTTATCTGTCTATGTACTGTTGGCTTCCGTAGGCGTCTCTTACAGGGAAAAAGAAAGAGAGGATTCCATTTGGTTATTAACTAATATATGCATTTATTTAAGGAGCGGCCCGCTCCAACACAATAATTACATAAACGAGAAGGCGAGTGGGGGGGGGGGGGGGGGGGGGGCAAAGGTGGCGTGAGCGTAGCCAACCTATAGGAGGGCGCCATTCCAAAAAAAAAAAAAGCAAACGGTGACAGAGACGAAAACTGACTGATGATTAAGAGATAAAGAATGACGCTCGTAACTGTATATAGAATGGTCGCTTTCTCTTTGATATCCAAAGTAAAATATTTCTTAGGAAGCCCCTTGGAACAAATTTCTGTCGCAGAGGGAAACTTGCACCACGCTGACGAGAGCCCAACAGCCCCGAAAACGCGTACGTGGTTGGCCTTTCTTGATCTATAAATAAATTGGGTTGGCCAAATATCATGGAACAGGTTAAATCAACGTTTAGTTGGTTTTTGTTCCACTAGATGCGTTTTTTTTCATCTAAAATGCTCATTTGAGCTGTCAGAGTATGCCTTTTTTTTCGATTTTAATTTTAATATACATATATTTCAACTTTAGAATGATATTGATATGCCATCATAACAAATATTATTTTTTAAAACATACTTCGTTGGGCAAACATTCACCCGGGGAGGACTGGGGAGGCGAATATACAATAGCTTCTGCAGTCTAGCAAAAAATATGCTTGGATACCCCGACAGTTTCACTCTCCTACTTCAAAGCACGGTAGCCTCCGCAGAGATTATAAGGAGATTCTCCAGCCTTCTATGTACGAGTGGCCGTTTGATCCAGGATTTATTCAAAAGTGAAGTGCATTTTGAAGAAAAATTCCGGTTGTATTTGAGAGTTAAATTAAAGAAATGTTCCCGGCAAGGACCCACCTGCCAGACAGAAGAACAGAGAGCCCCTGGTCGGCCCGCGTGATGCCCTCTTCGGAAAAAGGGTCTCCTGCCTCGAGTTCGTGCAGCTCCACTTCACGGATGAGCTCCTTGAAGTGGCGTCGGCTAACTTTGAAGGGAAGGAATAGGCGTGAATAGAGCTCCTCCAGCTCGGCTACGAACCTGCAGCAAGCTTATCTGGAAACCCAGTTATAGAGAAGGCAGATTGAAAAGGTCGACTATATAATAAATATCAGAATATTTCATTTCCATCTATCACAACTACCATACTATTTCCCGTTTTAATTTTTACTAGGACAATTAAAGGAGCTTTTTCTGAAAGTCTCTCCTCTTTAACTTATAACTGGGCTGTGATTGTTTGCTGGAAAATAATCAACATAGCGTTAAGGAATGTGTCATTCAAGTGGAAGAAGGAATCAGATATATGCAATATAATAGTTGATTCATTCGAGGATAACACAAAAGGAAGAAAATATCGATTTACCATGTTAGAAGACCTACCTGGGTGGAATGCAGACCCAAGCGAGGTAGAGAGCGTGGCCGCCGTTGGTCAGTAGGAACGCCAAGTTCCAGGCGAGTAGGTCCGGGGCGCAAGCCTCAAGAGCTGCCCACAGGGACGCCAGCAGGAAGCCAAGCGCTAGAGAGGACCGCAGGAGCAGGCGGTGAGGTGCCAGGAAGGCGGCGGCGTAGCATGCGTTGGCAGCCTGGACGAGAGCATGTCCGGTGGCTGGCCACTCGGCACAGCTCGGCGCTACCACCGCCATTGTGACGTTGGCCCCCGCCAAGCCCTCCATCCTGTACATAAACGCCTAAGGTCTCTCTCAGTTCGAACGTACGTTAGGCCTAAGTTGCCTACTTTCTTCATGTGGCAGAGGTAGATGCACAGAAGATATGAACGAACAACCTCCATTATGTGAGGAGAAATAGAAAATAAAACGATACCAGAAATGACTCTCAGTAAATAGAACAAGCATTTGTGTGCCAAATCACCTCGAAAGGAATTGATATTCAACGATCGAAACATTGGCAAAATAAGAATATTATCAAAGATTCAACCTATATTTATATATATATACTAGCGGATGTGTACCCGGCTTCGCCCGAGTTTTATCCGAGTGAAAGTTTGCCTAACGAATATTATTGATAATAATATTCAGGAACAAACAGAATATTATGATAATAATATTCGTTACATATATATATATATATAAAATTGAATGTCTGTCTGTACTCTATAGATTCAAAAACCATACATCCAATCGCCGTGAAATTTTGGGATATTATTAGGTACTCGACGAATGGCCCGGGCAAACGCCCGGGTTTTACCCGAGTGCGAATATATTCTAATAACGTTGTCTTGGGTGGTCGCTATAGGCAGGGTGGTCTGTATAGACAGGTGTATGTATCACACAGCTGATAACAGGGTTGTCTAGAGTGGCCGCTATAGACAGGGTGGTCTGTATAGACAGGTGTATGTATCACACTGCTGATAACAGGGTTGCCTAGAGTGACCGCTATAGACATGGTGGTCTGTATAGACAGGTGGATGTAGCACACAGCTGAAAACAGGGTTGTCTAGAGTGGCCGCTATAGACAGGTGTATGTATCACACAGCTGATAACAGGGTTATCTAGAATGGCCGCTATATACAGTGTGGTCTGTATAGACAGGTGAATGTAACACACTGCTGATAACAGGGTTGTCTAGAGTGGTCGCTATAGACAGGGTGGTCTGTATAGACAGGTGTATGTATCACACTGCTGATAACAGGGTTGCCTAGAGTGACCGCTATAGACAGGGTGGTCTGTATAGACAGGTGAATGTAACACACTGATGATAACAGGGTTGCCTAAGTGACCGCTATAGACAGGGTGGTCTGTATAGACAGGTGGATGTAGCACACTGCTGATAACAGGGGTGTCTAGAGTGGCCGCTATAGACAGGGTGACCTGTATAGACAGGTGGATGTAACACACTGCTGATAACAGGGTTGTCTAGAATGGCCGCTATAGACAGGTGGATGTAACACACTGCTGATAACAGGGTTGTCTAGAGGGGGGCAGGGAGGACACGTGTTCGCCGGCAGCCAATGGGCGCGCATTCTATCCGTGAGCTTCAGACAGAATAAGGCAATTATATAAGTAGATATCCCCGGGAAGGTTTTTGAAAAATAATTTGTTGAATATCTTGAATATCCTTAGAGTTATTTGCAGATTTGTAGATTTAACTCGAAAGCAGCGCCCCCATTGCGACGATGTAACAAGTTTTTTTATCTATAAGTTTTATTATCACTAAGTTTATTATCTTAAAGATTATTTATCAAAAGTAAGATTTTCTACCTATTAATAGCGCACAAGTCAAAGTTAGTTGGGAGAATAGATAAATTGATGATTTTGTATGTGGAAAATTAGGAAAGACAAAATTCAGGATGACACGGCAATTTATTTGAGACATGAATAATGGTACAATTCCAAGGCAAATATACCATTCCTTTAACTTCCAATTACCGAGGGAACCAATTAATATTGATTTTATTCAACTTTATCGAGTATTTTTCAAGGGACCGGGAAAAAATGTTCACTTTATCGAGAGATTCAAATTTACGAGTTATAAATCATCAAAATATATCTATTATTATTTTTTATAAGTTTATAGAGAATTGTTTTAACAAATGTTCGTTAGACAAACCTTTAATCGGGTAAAACCCGGGCGAAGCCGGGTACATCCGCTAGTATTATATATAATATAAATATATATTAATATATCGACTATATTAATTAATTCAAATACCTAAACACCAATATAATACAATTTTTGCCATCACACACACTTTTTTCCTGTAGTTTATGTATTACTTCTGTATTGCTATTCTATGGCACTTCTAATATTTATTATTGATGTACTTTCAGTATGAAGGAAATTGCAATCGGGGGAATTCTCGGGCGAAGCCGGGTCATACGTCTAGCATATTTATATAATATATAAAATATATTTTCTAGCGAACATATCCACTCTCTCTAATGAAAATATTTTTTCAGAGATATATATAAATAAAAATATCTAGAAATATACTACATGATCTTAGCCAAAAGGCCGAAAAAACGATATTTTATATATAGAAATGACCTGGCTTCGTGTTTCTTCTGCTCTAGTGAACATTTCGCTGGTAGAATTTTGTTCCTGCCTACTAAATATTATTATCTGGCTTCGTCCGTGGCCTGCTTTAGTGAATATTCCCCTTATGAATTTTGTTTATTGCAATCAAGCATGATACAGCAATATTGTCATCATTTTTGAATAAAACTATATGAAAATAACTCTTCCAGATTGAACTCTCTGTCCTGTTCAAATTTCAGAGAGATCAGTTATATATTGAGGACGTGCATAGGGTGTGTGTACCATAATACGCTGACCGTACGGCCACGCGTCGCGCGAGCTCCGCGTATTTCGTCTTTCATTTGGCTGACGGCTCCTTTTTGCTCTACTAAATCCATATCATCTGAATCGCCTTAAGACAGGCTTCATTTCGAATCATCCTTTGTGAATTTTCGCCCAGTTTGAAATTTTTGTTTATTTCATTTTTCATAAGTTTGCAAAGCTACAAGTTGTAGCTTTGCCTCATTGTCATGGCAACGGCCGAGTTGGTCGTTGCGTCATCACTTCCATCTGTAAGTTCATTGGACGCTCATTCATTATCGTTAC